AACTCTGGCTACGTGTCTGCCCCTTTCCCTTTGGACCCTTACCAACTCTCCCTATATTTCTCTCTTTTATCAGTCCTTCGAGCTTGAGCTCTCTTTTCCGTTCTCTTTCTGCTCGTATTTCGATCGTGATACTGCTCCTATTCTACTTTCATATTCACATTTATATTCCTACCTGAATTTATTCATGATGTGATTCAGAATTGAATTTAGAATTCTTGCTATGTATAAGTCATAATCTGTCTTGTTATGTGTTGGGCTGAAAGCCGGAGGACCGTATCTGCTCATAGACTTTTTCTCTATAGAGTCTTGACGCCCTTCTGGCTTTCAGCACACGACACCATGTTTTTGTCTTATGTTTTATATATTACATGTTACACCAATGGAAGACAAATTTCTGTATTATATTATGGACAATAAAATCTCCCCCCCCCCCCCCCCCCACTCCGAGAACGGACGGACCCCATGCGTGTTGCCAAAATGTCCTTTTCGTAACAAAAGAAAAAGGTCGACCGTATTGACTTTACACACCGGACTTTTGCTGAAAAGGGGGGGGGGGGTGCTGAAAAAGGCTCGTATACAAAAGAAAAAGGTCGAGCCGTATTGACTTTACACACCGGACTTTTGCTGAAAGGGGGGGGGGGTCGGTTGGAACACGCATATGCGTACCCTAAATAACACTGAGTGGGGGGGGGGGGGGGCCGGGCTCTAGGCCTATTCAAAACTTTATACTATTGTATGTCCTTAATCAGAACCATGATCTTGTTTTTATCCCATATAAATCCCGTATAAATGTGTTTCAATACATTTATAAGAATAAAAGGTAACGATTACCGTGATAGGGCAATGATGTGATGGTTGACCAAATATTAATTGCTGATTTCAAAATTCTCTGCTGGGGTTCTACAAAAACAACCTTCCCTACCCGAACAAGTTTTCGACTCCCAAAAGTTAAGTGAGGAAAATATTGCAAGATTTAAAAATCGACAAATTGCTGTTAAAACCTCATGAATCTTTAACAGTCTCTTAAATTATCTGCTTGGCCGAAAAAACGGAAATGTACAACGTTGAACACTTGTGAGGACTTCAAAATGAAGAGAAAGGGAAACTGGGTCCGTGAAATTTTGCAAGTTAAAACCTAGCGGGAAAACTTAAATGATGTCATTATGAAATTGAAATAAAGCTGAAGTATTCTGAAACGTACAAATTAACACATTAACATATACGCACTTTAAAAAATACGTCCGTCTTAAAATTGTAATTTTGAAGAAAAAAAAAACCCAAATTTCCCGGCCCTGCAATGAATGAGGTGTAACCGTAAACAGAATAACTAACGATTCATTAACTACCGCTGTTGTTTATCTTGCAAAATAATGTATTGAAATAATTTTAAAGTTAGCAATTAAAGTAAGAACTTGAACAGATCAACGTGCAACTTCCTATCCCCAAGGTTTTGTTCATTACGACACTGACTGCAAGGACGATTTTTTCTAAAGTCACTAAACGATGAGACGTAACAAAAGAGACTGCATCCAATCAACTACCCTGATTTTATCAGTGCAAACCAATCGGCTTTAATCTGCTGTACCTTGATTATCACGTGTCTTTACCGTAGCCAATCAATATGTGCAAGAACAAAATAGCACGTGCTTTCAGCCTCCCCTCGCGAGCTCAAAGTTCGTAGGAAAAAAAATTTCGCGTCCGGGACCCAAAAAGAAATATACATACGCCACGCGACTATGAATAGGCTGCAGATAACATGAATTCCATAAATGTTAATATCGGGCTTGTGTGCATATACCAGTACGAACACCTGTACGAAATTCCATTATGACTGACAGATCAAGCAGGGACCGTCTCAAAATATGTTGAAAATCACCTGGCTCTGTAAACGAATTAACGCATACACAATTCAATCCCCGAAGCCTACCTGTTTTCCGTGTTAGATAATTTTTTATTCTTGTTTACAAAGTTTCATATCGGCTCTTTTAGTACGTGTTTAAAGCCCTCACCTGTACATTATACTGGTCTAGCGCCCCCTTTACTCCGAAGAGATCACGAGGCAATAAATGAAAGCCATCATGCAAGTGACGATCTTTAGTACTGTGTATTTTGAAAGATAATACAAGAAGTCATAAAAACAATTAGCTGCGCATAACGCAATATGAAACACTTTTATCTTTCGGTTATATTTTCCAATCAAACTGCAATTCTCTGATAAGTTCTTCTTTCAAGCTGCCTCCTCTGTGCATTTATTTGTTTATTTATTTATATATTAATAAATGTAATTAATTATTTTTTCCTGGGGAGGGGAGGGGGAGGGGGCGAAAACCGAAACCGCATTCTTATTAGCGCTGCTTAACACCTTTAATGAGTGCCCCTTCCCCCATGATGTCTTTCGTCTATGTCTGATCGTCAACGAAACAGAGTTAAGTCTTTGTCAATTCTGTTTGTTGCTACGGCAGGCAACCAGGGAAAACGAATTCTTTTAATAACATTATGAAAATGCAAGCATCATTTTAAACAAACAGAACTTTGTTATTCCTAGCTCGTTTTTTCCTGATTGAGGTGTCTTATGAAAGGGCAGAAAATGAACTTTCTAGAAAATGTGATTTTCTCTTTGAAAAATCTGATACCGTCCGCCAAATGACTTTTTGTTTCCCTCTCTTCAAATAGATTGTTATCACTCAGGCGTGAAATATAAGTTGCATCAAATGAAAGAGTAGGATCTAAGCTTTAAAAATATGTGACATTTATTAATCATAATTGTGATTAAATTATGATAAAACATCGATAGTTCTCGGTTTTCTTTTGTACGCGCCGGTATACGCGTTTATGGTAATTTTCTAGCCACCAGGGCCAGACCGGAGGGGGAAAAAAAGGGGGGGGGGGAGTGGTGATAATGCGCATTGGCGAGACTTCCGGCCACCGCCTGCGTCTGTCGCTCTTTAGATCTTCAGTAGATCAAGATGGATGCTCACGATACCGACCCAGACCTACCAAGTCTCACGCAGATAGCTGGTCCATTATACTTTGTTTTGCATAGTAGAATATGAACTGTTCATTGTACATTGTGTACTTTTTGTAAACACTACATGCACTTTAGATCGAATTTGAAAGGCAATTCTTTTTTTTTAAAGAAAGGACTTATGATGTCTGCGCATTAAACCTATTTTGAAGTGTACAGGTTGATGTTATTGCTTCTCTATTGAAATAAATTTTTACATTGTGAACTTTACATCAGAAGCGCAATTTGATTTATTTTACATTGTCAACAACTGAAATGGTAATCCCTATCGCACTTCAAAATGCTCAAGAGGTTACAATTTTACAATACTTGTTTAGGAGTACACTTTTTTTAAAACATGTTTAGGGTGTGAATTCGGGAAAAAAACATGCGAAATCCTCATTATAGATGTATTTTGGTTCCAGAAGAAATCCTCGTGTAGAGGGTTTCAGGAACACCTGTGGTCACACATGCTTACAGTACATGACTGAGAACCCCGGCTAGGATTGACGCCCTCTGGGTGTATACGCTCAACACTTCTCTAAAATCGTTCCAAAAATATGGACCTGCTTTATCAACAGAATGCACACGAGATCAGTACTATGTGAAACACTGTTTGTCGTCAACTGAATCGAAATGAAACGAAGTTTGTTTTACATTGTCGGTGTGAGGATGGTTACATTTCTGTAGTGTGCAGCCTTGTCTTTGTTTTTGTCTTGTTTTGTCCTGTCATGTCTTGATTATCTTGTCATGTTTTGAATTGTTTTGTCATGTCTTGTCTTATCTTCCTACGTCAGTTTCCTGTCCTTTGTGTCCCGTTTTTTTGTAATTCTGATCTTTTTGTATATTTCGATTATTTAGACACTTTAAAAGAGTTTATGAAAATATGTTATTATATAATATATATTTTTTACTGTGATTATTAAGACAATTTAATATGATTGATGAAAATAATGTTCATATTATATTTATTCTTGGGAACCTACAAAAACAAGCTATGCTTTCCAGTAGGTTCCTGTTTCATTTCATAATTTTAAACTTAATTTGTCAACTATGTTCTTTAGTGTGCAAACAATTGATATAGGAAATGGAAAAAATTCGAATCAATCAATCAAATATATACCCATCATCTCTTTCTACATTTTTGTTCAAATAAAATTTGCTCTATTTCAACTCCATGAACTTGGACAAATTGGAATGTATAAGTATACCGACATCTCACCATCAGCACTACCAGTTCGGGAAACAAGGACAAGGGTACGTAAATGCCACTTATTGGACATAAGGAAGGGTCGAATTCGTTACAATCTCCTGATTATTAGTAAAGTAATGAAATCTTGGTAATGATATAGGTCCTATTGCTTTGATAGCAAACCTCAAAGAATGGCTCAAAACCCGATACAATGACAACCTTGTCGCCAAACTTGAGAGTGATCCGGTTGCTATGGACATCTCTTTCACTTCAGTCTTCCGAAACCACTACCCCTTTCTTCCCCCTCTCTCTCACTCTCTCCCTCTCTCTCTCTTTCTCTCTCTCTCTCTCTCTCTCTCTCTCTCTCTTCCTCTCTCCCTCTCTCTCTTCTCTCCTTTTCAAACCCTTTTCTCATTCTCTCTCTTTCTTCCTCTCCCCCTCTCTCCATCTCCCTCCCTCTCTCTTATCTCCTTTTCAAACCCTTCTCTCATTCTTTCTCTTTCTCCTTCTCTCTCTCTCTCACTCTCTCTTTCTCTCTCACTCTCTCTTTCTCTCTCTCTCTCTCTTTCTCTCTTCCTCTGTCAATCTCTGCCCCTCTCTCATCTATGTCTCACTCTTCTTTTCTCCCTAGTCGAATGATCTGAAAGGTCTTCCTGTTCTAGATAAAAACTCATGGCAATATCGCATTGTCTTCTGGGCGAAACCCTCACCTAATATACCCACTGTAAATATTGCATATTAATGAGATTATTTTATGATATCGATATCAATTTGTATACGACACGCCACGCATTGTGTCATTGACCTGTCGTCTGCCGTTGGATCGCAGTAGCGAAACGATCGGCCGTTTGGAAAGGGCAGGCGATCGCTTCCATCAACCTTTGCCAACACCGCATCGTCGCGGTATGTCGGCTCTGAAGCCCCTCCAGTACGTCGCGACCAGGCCGAGGTCATCGATCAACAAGCGGACATCGTCGATGCCCACGAGGAGGAATTACGGGCCTCAGTTGCAGGGCGTTATGACGGTCGTCGGGCGATCGGCGTTGTCGAAAGAGTTGATGGCTTCCTACAAGCACACGAAACGGCTCGGACCCTATCTCCTCGGCCCGACCATCGGCGAGGGAAGCTTCGCGAAAGTGAAAGAGGCGATGCACGTTCTCGTTGGCGAAAAGGTGAGTTGTTGATTCTTTTCCTTTAATTTTCATACAGTGGAAATTTGGTGTTGAATTTACAACATATTAATATGTAGGAAAAATAGTTAATATCAGATATGTATTAAAAACTAAGGAGCGCAAAGTAATTGTTTGCGTTTTAATTTGATCATGTTTTCCTTGGCTTTGGTACCGGGCCGGCTATGGTTTCTAAAATGTAATCGCTTCAATTTCATGTTTTCAAGTTAACATGAACACTTTAACATATAGGAAGAATCCACGTATGTTGAAACTATTATGGTTTTTATCATTCGTTGTATGTTATCAATAGAAAATGTCAAATATATATTTTAAAAACTTTATTTCTGAAATACATACAAGGTTTAAATGTGTGAATGCTATAGTTTAGCATTGAATTTATTTTACAAAAGTTGATATAATAGTTTAATGTGTTTTATTGTTATTATATTTACAGTAAGAGTTCAGTTTGTATTGCGGACTATTCCGTATTATATCTTCGATATATTGGTTGAGACACCCTTTCTAAGTTTTATGAATAATGTTATGTATCATAAGTCGATCTTAACTTGATAATTAGCTGTCGTCTTTTTTTTATACCGTCACCTTGTCATTGTCGCATTGAACTTGTTGTCATGACAACCATAGACCCATTAAAAACATAATTCGTCAGTTACTGATAATTTTAAAATGGTCGTACTATTGCATCGAGTTTAGCTTATTCCTAAATTGCAGCCCGTCTAATTCATTTATCGTATTAGATCGATTCAGGTGTACCAATCTTTGCCTTCATTGCAATGCAAAATGATATTTAAGGTAGAATATATTACTTCATAAGACGGAAATTGTGATTTTCTATCATTTGTTGAATGCGTAGTATGAGGGAACAAGCAGAAATCATTCAAAATCATATCTGAATAAATGAGTTAAAGTGAAAAGTGTGACCTCCAAAATCTATGAATTAAAAAAAATGTAATAGAGAGAATCAAATGTTATTTTATGGATCTTAAAACATTATGGAGTAGAATACGGGAGCAAATGCGAAAGGTCATCTCAGCACATTTCTTTTATGCCGTTATACCTCGTTTATGCATTACATTATTTCAGAACATTAAATCAAATCAAATTAAAAAAAGACATCGGCAATTGTCATTTGCGCTACCTCCTTGGTTTCCGCAATAATAATAATAATAATAATAATAATAATAATAATAATAATAAAAATAATAATAATAATAATAATAATAATAATAATAATATGTCTTGTTTACCCAGAGTGATCCTGGTGGAATTTGGATCTGACGGGCGAATATAGACATACGTTTTTGTTTTAATCCAACCTAAACATTGAACAATGTTTAAGTATGATTTCCCTTTATCGTGTTGTTTATGATCTAATTTGTTCTCACGTTGATTAACTATATTATACATGAAAAAACATACGCCCATTATACCAGACAAAAATTGTATTGGGCAAGTTGACCGAACCGTTTGCCACAACCAGTATTCACAGACCACGGGTGCTATATTTAGGGGTGATTGTTCACGGTCATTTAGATTAGAATAACATCAAGTAAATGGCGAACTTTGGACAAAGGCGCATAATTATGTAAAACAAGTCATTCGCATCGGTCAGTTTGGTCTAAATTGGGACCGAAGTGACCACACTCGTCTTTGATTTCCAGATCCAATTTCTTGGACTAAAAATGTCACACAGAGAAGAGTGAGAGAGATGAGCGCGGTATTCATGAAACCAGTTTAATTTTAGAACGTCTCTTTGTGTGGGCTATATACATCTTCAGATTAGAATGATATGACTTAACTATCTCAATTATCTCATTCTCATAATTCGAGTCGAGGGATGGACCTTTTGAAAGTATTTTATCACATTTAATATTTCGTTTTTTTCGAACTTCGGTTTTAAGCTGTAGATCTGGTCCCCGTCTTAGAGTTGCGACTGATCCAAATCAATCGCAAGTTTGCAGTCTCCTATCTCTTATGTACATATAGTTGCGATAGATATCAGTCGCAAATAAGCTGCGATTGATATCAACTCTTTATAAGACGGGCCCTAGAGTTTTAAGATAAAGACAATGTGAAGTAGTAATAGAACACTGATTTGTTTTCCTTCAAAAATTCGTAATGCAAAAAGTTTAGATTTACCGATATATGTCCCACCTCTGTTCAAATTATGCACAGAGTTGGTATTCATGGAAATTTCAGATATGAAAGGTGTTAGTATTGGGGGTGTAAATATTAATACTTTACATAAGCTGATGACACTGTATTTTGCACAGAGAATGAAGCAGATTTACATTATGTATGGGATATTGTAAAAGTCAAGAGTGAAGAGTTTGGTCTAAGCATGAATGTCAAGAAAACTAAGTCAATGATTTTTAGTAGAACAGAGAATAAGCCTAGAATATATTTGAAACTCGATGGACATATTCATTGAGCAGGTCTGTAATTACGTTTCCTTAGGACAAAATATCACAGATGATGCTAGATTCGAAGCAGAAATAAAAAGAAGAATAGAAATTGCTTGGATTACATTTCTGGCAACGAAAGGATCATTCACAAATAGAAAGGTGAAATTTGAGCTTAGGTTGAGACTAGTAAACTGTTATGTAAGGTCTGTCCTTTTGTATGGAGTGGAAACATGGACAATAAGCAAGGCCATGGAAAATAGAATAACATCTTTTGAAATGTGGATTTACAGAAGAATGATGAAAACATTCTGGAAATGAATGAAAACCAACAAAGAGATATTGCACATGGCAGGGCGTAAACAAATTGCACTAGTAGGATTAATTAAGGAGAGAAAATCAAATACTTTGGTCATGTTAAAAAGCACCAAAGCCTCTTAAAGGATGTATTGGAAGGAAGAGTAAAAGGAAGTAGACCTAGAGGGAGACCCAGAATTAACTGGGAAGAGAATGTCAAGAACTGGAGTGGACTAAAACTGCAAGAGTGCACCAGAATGGCAGAAGATAGAGTGAAATGGAGAGATGTTGCAATCAACCTCCGAACCGGGAGAAGATACTTAGTTAGATCTGGACCTTTATGATCTCAACTTGACACGATGTTCATTTTCTCATGGACCCTGACAAAGATTGTTAGACCGGGAAACATACTGTTATCTAAATGTAATTGGAAAATGATTTAGATTATAACGTATAATGTAGGGGGTCTTTGCCAAGAAGCATTTTCTGGGTTATTATTATTATTATTATTAAATAGTTAATTTTGGAGGTACACATATAACAACAGCAGCAGTGTAGCGGCATCCGTTTGCAATAATTTATTATTATTGTTAGAATTATCACCATTGTCTTATTTTTTTTCTTTTCATGGAGGCGCGATAGCTCAGTTGGTAGGGCAGTGGTATCATAATCCGACGACCCGGGTTCGAAACCAAGACGATGCGCTTGTGCCCTTTGGTAAGGCATTAATCCTCAATACCAGGTCTCTCGGAGAGGACCTAAAGCTGTCGGTCCTCGGACTGGTTATTAACAAGCATTTATGCTTTCTATGCAGTCAGGTAAAATAAGCAACACTACAAATTATCGCAATCCTCATCATCATCACCATCATTACCACCTCCACCGCCACTATCTTCATCAGTATCAGAATTAGCATTTTCATCATTTTCATAATCTTTAATGGTATTTCCGTCAATGTTTGTTTTCTAGGTTGCCATCAAGATAATTGACAAGAAAGCCGCGAGGGAGGACGCCTACCTCCACAAGACGCTCCGTAGAGAGGCGGGGCTTCTCCAACTTCTTGGCCACACCCACATCGTTCGCCTTCTCGAAGTCATGGAAACGGACAACAACCTTTACCTGGTACTGGAGCTGTGCGGGGGCGGGCCCCTGCTGGATAGGGTGTGTGAGAAGGGCGGATTGGAAGAGGGCGTGGCCAGACGGTACATCAAACAGGTGGCTTCGGCCGTGTACCACATGCATCAAATGGGCGTGGTACATAGGTAACATGATTTTGATACGTTTTGTAAAATAAAGTAAGTGGCGAAGCGGGGTTTAAATATTTTTGTCAAAATGTGAGGTAAATTGAATTGCAGGGTTTCTTTCCATTTGAAGTTGAAATACCCATTCATTTGCAAATTTATGTTAATTGAAATCTTGAGGTTTATATTTGTTCTTTTAGAAAAAGAAAATGAGTATAAACAAACATGGCAAAATAATGATCATTATCTTGTTTAATAGTTATCCAACTAAACGTAGCGATTAGAAGGGGTATGAAGGTTCTTAACATGTTCTGCTCCAATAGAAAAAAAGGCAAACATTAAAACTATTACACTGTACGTATGCATGTAGTTTTGTTTTATTACTGACCTATATAATCAATTGGGAATGTAAATAGAATGTAATTATTTCTTTCATGTCTTTAAAACAATCGACAGAGTCCTGAAAGTCGAGAATCTTCTTCTTGACGACAACGACAAAATTCGAATAATAGGTAAGTTCAACTTTCAATGATAATATGGCGAAAGGTTAGGCAACGTTCTTTGTTGCATTAACATTTCAACTCTTAATCAGACGGTTCTGAATTCGGATTTCGGATCGAGGCTTACGGAATAATGGAGGGAAATTAATATTTTGATGATGGAAAGGAATCACTTGGAAAATTGAACACGTATACTTTCATGCTTTAATATTGCTTCCTATCTCAATTACTGAAATAATACTTATATTATTTTTATTTTTTAATTTTTGGTCTAGATTTTGGACTGAGTAATTTCATCGGGAATCTGGAACGAGAAACCGATCTTCGGGATGCTAAGAAGAGGGAACGGGATTTCTCAAGCCGCAAACAGGCGGACGTACGCGCTAGCCGGAGAGTGAGCCGAACCGTCGGAGGAAGGAATGGCGCAACGGGTGATGATAGTGGGGGACCAGGTAGACCAGGTGAGCCCAAGGGCGTGGCCAGGGCGCGGCTTCCTTCTGATGACGGGACCAAACGAAGGACCAGAGGATCTTCTCTTCGCGAGGACAACGGCCAAGAAACGTGGCGCGAAAGAGCGGGACTGCAGCGGAAAAGCAGCAAGGAACACTCGAACATGACTAGATCCAACCCGAAACAAAATGGCGTCCGAGTTAATGGAGGGAATGTTCGATTTTCTGGACAAGACATACACCGTCGGTTGGGCGCCGAAGAGCAGGATTCGCCAGAAAAGAGACGGAATATGCTGAGGAATAGAACATTGGATGTATTCGGGACTAGGGATTTTGCGGGAACGCTTTGCGGGAGTCCTGCCTATGCAGCGCCTGAGATTATTGCCAGGAAGCGATATGGCCCCAAAGTGGATGTATGGAGCATGTAAGAAAATCTCTCATTTTCTTTTTGTATTGGGTAAAATGAAAGTAGGAAAATATAGAATACGTAGAGACATTTTATGCGCAGGATAATTATATACATATAGCACCAACGAAGTAGAAAACGAATGGAAGGCACTATGGAATGGTAGTTCGTATTTTAGTCATGGGACAAGTCATAGTAAAGGGGTTCTTATTTTGTTTGATTCTAAACTAGATATTCAAGTCATTAATGCAATTGCAGATGATAACGGTAGGTTTATTATAATGGAGTGCATTATACAAGGGTTAAGGCTTACAATAGCCAATGTATATGGAAAAAATAATCAGCTAATAATAGGAGGTGATTTCAACATGATCAGCAATTTTAACCTGGATTACATGGGAACTGGTAAACGAAAGGTTCTCTCAAAATTTGGTAGACTCTTTGAAAATTTTGTGGATAGATTAAATTTGATTGATATTTGGAGAGTGCGAAATGGAATGAAAAAACAATTTACGTATAGACAAATCAATCCTTTTATGCAAAGTCGACTTGATTATTGGTTTGTATCCGAAAAACTAGATGAAATAATATCAAAATGCAATATAATATCATCTATAGCTCCTGATCATTCAGCTGTACAACTAAACTTTTTTAATTTACCTTCGAATGATATCAAATTCAAGGGATCTTATTGGAAATTTAATAATACTTTATGTAAAGATGAAAAGTTCATCGTGTTAATGAAAACCGCAATCATTGAACTGAAAGAGGACTATAAAACAGAAATAGAAAGTAAAAGAGTTTTATGGGATTTTTTGAAAATGAAAATAAACAGTTTTATCAGAAAATATTCGAAAGAAAAAGCAAAGCTCAGAAAGGAAAAAAATTGGGAATCTAGAAATAGAAATACTCTCCCTTGAAGAAGATCTTTTGAAAGCAGTAGATAATGAGAAGATTGCATCTTTAGAACTGAAACGAAGAGAATGAAAAGCATGCTATGATTATATTAATGAAGGACTTAAAATTCGTTCTAGAGCATCGTACTTTGAAAGAGGAGAAACAAATACTAATTACTTTACCCAATTGATGGAATCAAATAAGAGAAAAACAGTAATCAGAAAACTAATGATAAATGAAGAGAAAATAAGTTTTGATCAGAGAGATATAATTAAAGAAATACACAAGTTTTATAGCAAACTATATGCGCATTCCACGGTAGATTCCAATTCTAGTGATGCTTTTTTCACAAATCTACCCAAACTAAATCCAGACTCTAAGGATATTTGTGAAGGGAAAGTTACCGAGAGGGAATGTATGGCAGTTTTGAAAGAAATGAAATTTAACAAAACACCAGGTAACGATGGTTTAAGTGTTGAATTTTATTCATTATTTTGGCCGGTAATAGGAGACGTATAGTGGTCGATGCTTTGAATGAATCCTTTTGTGAGGGAGAACTCTCCCACTCACAAAAACAGGCAGTAATTACTTTAATTCATAAAGAAGGCAAAGATCCGTTACAAATTAAAAACTACAGACCCATTTCCTTACTTAATGTGGACTACAAGATTTTAACAAAAGCTCTTTCAACAAGAATTAAAAAAGTATTACCAGAAGTTATTTGGATTGATCAGGTGGGATATCTAAAGGAAAGAAATATAGGTGAAGCTATTCGGTTAATTGACGACATGATCTTTCATACAACTCAAAATAAAATACCTGCTTATTTGTTAGCGATAGATTTTGAAAAAACGTTTGACTCGGTTTCACACATGTTTTTACAAAAGGTCTTAGTAGCCTTTGGTTTTGGACCGACATTTTGTAAATGGGTGAAAATAATTTATAATAAGGCTCAAAGTTGTGTTTTCAATGGACACGTATCAACTGGATATTTTTCTATTCAAAAAGGTGTAAGACAAGGCAGGCGCGTACGCAGGATTTTTTCAAGGGGGGGGTTTTAACATTTATAAATCGGTCCGAAAATTTCGCAACGACTCAGCCAGCCGCTGAATAAGCGGGGGGGGGGGGGGGGGGGGGGGGGGGGGGGGTAAGAGGACACATTTTTTTTTTTTTTGGTCCCAAAAAAATCGCAACGACTCAGCCGACCGCTGAATAAGCGGGGGGGGGGGGGGGGGGGGGGGGGGGGGGGGGGGGGGTTTGGGGGGGGGGGTAAGAGGACACTTTTTTTTTGGTCTCGAAATTGGAAATTTGACATTTTGCTCCGTTGGGGGGGGTAAGGTCACCTTTTTAGGTCGGCCATGGGAATAATTTTTTTTTTTTTTTTTTTTAATAATTAAAAAAAAAAAAAAAAAAAAAACCAAAAGGGGGTGGTTTTAGGTTTTTTTTAGGGGGGTTTACACACAAAAAATTTCCAAAGGGGGGGGTTTTTAACCCCCAAACCCCCCCCCCCCCCCCCCCCCCCCCCCCCCCTGCGTACGCGCCTGAGACAAGGTGATCCTTTGTCTGCATATTTATTTTTACTTTGCATTGAGATTCTTGCTCGCGCAATCCGCAGCGACTCGGCTATTCATGGGATTCCCTTTGATGATATTCACGTTAAACAAATTCTTTATGCAGATGACATGTCGGTGTTTGTTCAAGATATTGAATCTGTTAATAGACTAAACTCATTGTTTACTAGTTTTGCAGATATGTCTGGATTGAAGATGAACAGAGACAAAACCTTTGTATTATTGTTGGGTCCTAACGCGGATAAAGATGTAATAGTTCCATTTGGTAAGATAGTAAACATTGTAAAGATATTAGGTATACAGTTTACGTTAGACAGTTTACGTTAGACGTGGAAAGCCAGGAAAAAATCAATTACAAAGAAATCTTAAGTAAAATTAAAAAGCTGCTTATGTGGTGGAAACAAAGAGATTTGACTTTGATGGGGAAAATTCAACTAATTAAGACTTTGTTTTATCAAAATTAGTATATGTATCATCACCCACACCTGTACCGCCGTGGGCATTCCGTGAAATTGAAGTGTTAATATTTGATTTTTTATGGAATGGAAAAGATAAAATCAAAAGGAGTACTATGTTTTTAGATTACGATAAGGGAGGTCTTAAATTGACAGATTTTCAATTATTTATTCGAACACAAAGAATCATGTGGATGAAAAGACTTATAACAGGAGATTCAAATATGATTGGAAACGTTATTTTAAATACCTGACTAGAAAATATGGCGGCCTCTTGATTTTTTTCAGTAATGTATCGCCAGATTTACTTGCACTGTCATTACCAGATTTTTACCGTAGCATGCTGAAGGCTTGGCTGGGGACAAAAGCCTTTTTGCTTAAGAACGAAATTTCAAAAAGAAATCAAATTATTTACAATAACAGATGTATCCGCATTCAGGGGCAAATATGTTTCCATGAAGACTTATTTCTGAAAAATGTTTTTAAAATACATCATATTGTTGATAAGAAAGGTGAATTGAAATCTATCACAGTATTTAAGAAAATGGGTTTAAACAAAATTGAAATAAATACAATAAAACAGTTATATGAAGGCATTCCATTCTCATGGAAAACTCCTTTGAATATATATGAACATCCTTGTGAGGATACTGAATTAAGTTTAGAATTCATTATTAACGGAAACCCTCACTCTTTGCAAGGCATAACATCAAAATATATCTATAGTACATTGTTAAAAATGAGAACGGAAAAATCTTATGCTACATGCAACTTAGAACGTACGTACAATATGGTCGAAAATGACACGAGAACAATTTTCTTAAGACCCCGAAAATCCACTATAGACAGAAAGCTGAGGGAATTTCAATATAAAATGTTATATAATTTAATTTATACAAATAAGCATCTATACACTTTCAAACATGTAGTGAGCAATCTTTGCTCCTTTTGCAATAAACACGAAGAAACCTATGAGCATCTGTTTTTTACCTGTGAAAAGGTAGCAAATATTTGGAAGGACTGCGGTGACCTTTTTTCTTTATCAGCGTTAAAAAATCTACATTGGCAAGAAATTCATATCGGGATAAAATGATCCAATGTGGGATAAGAACAACTGTTAAATCTCATTATTCTTTTAACAAAACATATGATTTTTAAATATAGTTCAACTCAAAATAGACCCCCAATTCCTCAAGAAATTAAAAAAAGAATTATAGAAAATAGGCAAGAAGAAAAGGAATTAGCGGGGGAGAGAGGCACTTTAACACTTCACTTCAGAAAATGGGACAACTTCCACAGTTAAAGAGAGGGTTCATTGATTTAAAAAACTAACTTTAATGTCATTATTGCAAAGGTGACACTTTGATTGGCCAAGGTTATCAAAAGCCAATGCTTGGAAACATTTGAAGTAATGATTATTAACATTTACAAAACGCTCAGATGTAGCCCCGACATAGCACCTGAAAAGGCTCCCCAGTCGCTGCTGAGATATGACGTCACATGTTGAACATGATGTGCATATTAAAGCAGACGATGTCCCATGACATGTCACACAATATCAGTGCCTGTTTTGTCATCTTTTCTTCAGTTATTTCTCTTACTTCAACACCCTCAGGTTAAATTTTTAATCTATTGCCTCACTCTAAACCCTGTGCATGGTATTATTTTGATGAAAAATGCAAGGATAAAAAAAAAGAAGGGAATCCGTCGCTTGTAAACAAAATAAGACGCCATTGTATTTTCAGCTGCATACACCGCGGCATGTTCGGCGTTTCAAGAGGGAACAAATGACGTCCGTGCTTTCATTCCGGAGGTTTTTTAATTTGAAAGTGTGGTTTCTTTGATTGTTCATTAACCCCTATCCTGTTTATTTACAAAAAAAAGAATTTAGTTATAAGAATGGGGGTCATATCCCTTTTTGAATGGTGTAAAATTCCATCACATTTATATACACTAAACTCAATATAATTTGAGAAATAAAAGCATTGCAATTATGTTCATTCTTTATGGGATGTCGTCTGCTTGCGCAGGGTTGGTTCATATTGTGACGGCATTAAAACATCGTTATTTTTCCGGTGAATCTCTCGCATATCCCAGGT